AATTTCATAGGTAAGTTGAGGTTAGTCACGATTAAGGGGAGTCGCGTAATTAAGATGAGGTTAGTCACTAATGAGGTCACTTCGCACCTCGGCGCGAAGCAATGTCATTCGAGACTAACGTCCCTTACCCATGCCCAACCCATCACGATCTTGACCCGACTTCTGCAGGTGCTTCCTCAGGTAATATCGAACTTCCGTACACACACACAGACAGACGCGAGCGCTTTATATATAGTAAGGAGTATTCATTCTACTATGTAGTGAAGCCCCTCTGGAATTAAGGATTTACTCCATAGGTCAACAATTTACTTGTCAAACGTCCAAAATTAGAACAACTCTAAAATGCTTTGATCTTAATGAACGCACTCCTCCTGTAAACAGGCATAGTTGATCACTTTTTACTCGTCTTTTATAGGTCCCTCTTTCCACCATTATGATGGTAGGCATTATGTTTTAGCGCGTCTCGTCTACGGTACCGCGCCGCCGTAGGCCCCGCCCTTCATGCAAGGTGACCTCACCTCATGATACTGAAACGTGAATCGAACCATACCCGCCGACTGAAGATCAGGCTACGTAAGAAGAAAAGGGGTGGCGGATAGTGAGATGAATCGCGGACCAGAACCGCAGAAGTCACCGTTACTTCCCCGGAAACGAAGGAGACTCAAAGGATGGATTTCTTTATTCGCTCGTGGGTCAACATACCTTGTGCCTCGAGTTATCCATGACTATGTTCATGGAGAGATAGCGGGTGCGGTGGTAAATTGCACATCAGTTTTGCCGAAAACTTGCATTTGAACGACTGAGCACTAATTGATATGGGACTGCCTTCAATGAATATGTCCCCTAGTCCACTGTGGGATAGCCTGACTAGCTACACGGCATCTAGACGGATTTCCCACTTTATTTTTCCAGAAAAAGTTACTTTGTATGAAGAAAAGTTACTATCCGATTTTGAAAAAGGTCAAATTCTCGCAAAAAATGATTAGGGACTGTCAAATCGTAGACTCGCCCGAAATTTGGGGCCGATACCAACAGTTGTCGACAATTTCATCAGGAATCCTGCAGAATTTGAGATCAAAAGAAGTATGAGACGCTCTCCATTACTTTCCAAAAAAGAAAAGTGACACATTTTGAGACATTCTGAGAGAACCGCCGAATACGACTCAGTCATGTACAGAAATCAAGTCCTCTTTGAAGCGCAATGTCTCGAGGATTACTGTTCGGAACATGATAAATAAGTCTTAGTTATCGTTGGGCAGAAAATGAAGAAGGCTTTCGTGATCGAAAAGCATCGCGATGACCGGGCCGCTTTTTCCAACAATTGCACCCCTGATAGAATGGTCAAGTAAGTTCGTTTTTATTAAACTACCAGGCGGCTACGCACGCTATTGCGTGCGCTAGGGGCTCTAGCCATGAGGGACGGAGCCACATGAGCTTCTGATTTTCATTGTAGACCTTTATCATCTGGGCCTCTTCCAAGACACTTCTGTAGCGGCCATCATTTTTTTTGGATGTGAAGTGGGGCTCTGTGTGGCCATGAAGAGTACTCCGATGTATCCAAATCAAATACCTCTGCGGTCCATGTAGTCGAAGAAACCCTGTGTCGTTGGGGCTGTGTGTGGCCATGAACACTAACTTTGAAAGGAAAGCCCTTTGAGAAGTTATAGGGAGTTACACGTCTTAACGTTTACATTTACACGCATTTGCTCTTGGGTACAAGAGACTACTGCATGTGGAACCACGGATACTAACTTTTAGAAAATTTTCAGCCTAATTTTTGAGAGAGTTTAGTGATATCTCCTAGTTGTACACCTCGGATTAGTGTGAAGGAAAGATGTATAAATTTATGATCTCAGCCCCCCCCCCCTCATTGCAAACCCCGCCCACTTCAGACTTC